ATATGATGTATCTCATCACTACTATGATATATCTCATCACTACTATGATATATCTCACCATCATGAAATATCTCATCACTACTATGATATATCTCATCGCTACTATGATATATCTCATCACTACTATGTTATATCTCATCACTACTATGATATATCTCATCACTACTATGATATATCTCATCACTACTATGATATATCTCATCACTATTGTGATATATATCATCACTACTATGATATATATCATCACTACTATGATATATCTCATCACTACTATGATATATCTCATCACTACTATGATATATCTCATCACTACTATGATATATCTCATTACTACTATGATATATCTCATCACTACTATGATATATCTCATCACTACTATGATATATCTCATCACTACTATGATATATCTCATTACTACTATGATGTATCTCATCACTACTATGATGTATCTCATCACTACTATGATATATCTCATCACTACTATGATATATCTCACCATCATGAAATATCTCACCACTACTATGATATATCTCATCGCTACTATGATATATCTCATCACTACTATGTTATATCTCACCACTACTATGATATATCTCATCACTACTATGATATATCTCATCACTACTATGATATATATCATCACTACTATGATATATCTCACCATCATGAAATATATCATCACTACTATGATATATCTCACTACTATGTTATATCTCATCACTACTATGATATATCTCATCACTACTATGATATATCTCATCACTACTATGATATATCTCATCGCTACTATGATATATCTCATCACTACTGTGATATATCTCATCACTACAATGATATATCTCATCACTACTATGATGTATCTCATCACTACTATGATATATCTCATCACTACTATGATATATCTCATCACTACTATGATATATCTCACCATCATGAAATATCTCATCATTACTATGATATATCTCATCACTACTATGATATATCTAATCACTACTTCAATGTATCTCATCACTACTATGATATATCTCTTCACTACTATGATATATCTCATCACTATTATGATATATCTCATCGCTATTATGATATATCTCATCGCTATTATGATATATCTCATCACTACTATGATATATCTAATCACTACTATGATGTATCTCATCACTACTATGATATATCTCGCCTCTAAAATACGTATTTCTTCCATAGATTGGTAAGTGTTGCTGGTAAAACACTGCAGTCTAAGATAGTATCTGGTAAACCACACCATATAGCGTGGAATGAATCTCACATTGAGTTATTGAAAGCAGCAGAGGTGAATATTATGCATATTTCCTTGATTTAAACTGTCACACTGTTGTCTACATTTGAAATGCAATGTAGTGAATAAGGTTTAAAAGCGAATTAAATGCAAATATTTTTTACCCACTTTGACATCATAATTTGTCCATACTCCATAATTTTGATCTGTCTTGTATTTGAAATATAATTAAATATTAATTGCTATCACACTGACAGCTGTTTATATAATTTGCATATGGAAACCAAGTAATTGTATATAATGACCTGAATATCAATAAGCTAATTTTGTTTGGGCTTACTGTATTTTAATGCATGTCTTTGTCTTAGGTTCACTCTCACTACTATGTGGTAAAGAACTATGTGAATTCTGTGAAACAGCTGACCATGTCACAACCATTGAAAAGCGTAATGATCAGTCTCTGTCAGTTGTATGCATTACATGGTATACAACAAAGTGCTGGGGATTTCCTACAGGTATGTGAATACTGGAAAATATTATTTGACTCTAGAAAAAAACATGAACATGACCCATTCAATTTTGTGGTAAGTGGTATGTGGGATCTTCTTTGATCTATCCATGACTGTGTATAATCAATTGTGGTTTTAAATCCATAGAGCTGATGTACAGCTTACCATGTTATTATATCTGTTTCAGATAGAGAGGGAGGTTACCATAGTGATGGTAAAAATGGTAGTTTTTCCATTTACTGCAAGTTGTCATATAAATGTGTGAAATGTACAGATTGGATGATCTTAATTTAGAAATACATGTATCAGATAAATAAGATATATGGTGTGAATTACTCCTATAGGATGGTTACATGAATGGTAATCAAATCGCCATGGCAACAGAGCAAATGCTTTTGTTGCTGGATGTGATACGCCCTAATGCAGTAGCGTTGTGTGATGCCTTTGACGTGCCCGATGAGCTATTAGGATCTATACTAGGAAGATATGATGGAAATGTCTATGAAAATATGTATCTTTGGGCTAAAAGTTCTCCATTGAACAAAACTGAGGTCAGTTTTTATTATTTCTTTATTCTTGTGGTACTTGTATATTTTGAGACTTTTTGTTCTGATGTTTTCAAGCTAGAAATGTTCAATTACATAAGCAAAAATGAACAAAATTATTCTGGATTTAAAATAAAAAATATATATACCTGGTATTACACATTTTGCAAATAAGCAAGCTGAGACACTGCCAAAATAGTGTAAGATAAACACACACCAGATCTTTCACAGACTCACTTTATTTGATAATGTATAGGTTTTTTTTTTATTTTGAAATCAAATCACAAATTATGTGACTTCTTCAATTTATGTTTGATCTAAATAACCTCATTCTATAATTCCTTTATATAATCAGTTGATTATTATTCGGCAATATGTAAATAATAATAATGATAATAATAATGATAATAAAATAAATTATTAAAATCATATCTTCATTTGGGATCTAGATAAAAATACAATAAAGTTTGAGCAAAAAAAATTTTAATTAAAGAAATAAAGAAGAGAATTTAGGCAGTTTATGTTACGGCTATCTTAAAGTGAAGCATTTGAAAATGTATTTAGTGAGATTCATTAGACTGTGTTTATCATTTGTTTTTATGATTATGCTGATATAATTTCCTGTATCTGTTTTATTTGTTGTCTTCACTTCTGTGTGTGGGTGTGTGTGTGTGTGTGTGTGTGTGTGTGTGTGTGTGTGTCTGTGTTTTTAAGATTGTGAGCACTAATTCTAAATTTAGTTAGAGCAGTTCTAAATTAATGTAAAGATGGTAAATTTATGCCTGGCTTCAATTTATTTAGTAGCCTAATAGTTTGTTATACTTTTCCTGAGGTTCCTGTGTCTAAACCAGAGTCACAGGATCATGATTTAAATAATTGTATCATAAATTGAGAAGCCATTTCAAGACATCAATGTGTAATGTTATAAACGCTACAATAAGATATATATTAAAGGGCGGTGATTGTCATGCAGCACATGTGTACATGTTGTACGAATGTGTACGTTGAACAAGGCACTGCACGGCACGGCATGGTGACCTCTGCCCTTTAAATGGTTATACTATAATTGGTACCTGCTATTTAAATGACATCAACTCAACTATAACTTAGTGAAATTTAATTCATCGCATCTTTCTTGCATGTAGCTTTTTAATGATTTCCTTTTTATTTTAGGTTCATGAGTCTTACTACCAATACCTCAAGCCGATGTTAAAAGGATCCAAGCTGTAGACCAAGTTGACCAAGCAAGAACTGAAATATATGGGTTATAAATCCACTTAGAGTACAATAAATTGATGATATCAATCATATAACGGTGCTTATCTGTTCTGGGCCCAACAATATATGAGAGAGCAAATACAACAATACAAGATTAATATATAACTGCTGTGTAATAATACTTTTATGAGTGATTCAAAAAAAATAAGATATTTTTTAAATATATGTAGTTTTAAAACCCAAATGAAAAATACACTTACAGTAACCAATAAATGTAATTATAATTCAAAGAATGGCTAAACATGGACTCAAAAGATTCCTTGGCGTGGGTGAAAACCTGAGAATTATGTGATGTAAGTTTCTCGATCTGTATTTTTGAGCTAACTTCGCAGTTAAATGTAGGTTCTAATAGGATTCATTGCTAAAAGGAGGTACCCCATGGATTCAATATTGGCTCCCATAGGACATTTGTTATACATATGTGAAATGATTTTGTTTCAATATATGACATCCAATGTTATTAACCTTTTCACCACCAGTTTCCTCTTTTCATCACAAATTCACAAAATAGTCCCATTTATAGTTTGCACTTTCCTTCAAAAAACTGAAAATTGACTTAAATTTTGTCTTTTGGCAGAAATATTGAAGAATACAAAAAGTGCAGAAAAGTTTCGGCAAGAAAGTCTAGTGGTGAAAAGGTTAAATGTGATTTCACAGATCAACCAAGTTACCCAGCATTATTAAGTTTACCCATTAATAACTTGTTAGAACTGGTATATAAACAACTTTATCTTTTAAAGATGATATATGAATGAAAACATATATATTTTTAATATAATTATTGTTTGATAATCTAAAATATGTCTAAAATCACAACTGTCTTCTTGTATCTACATGTAAGATACTGTCTTTTTTAAGTTGCTGAATTTTGGTAAATATTTTCAAATGTTATGTAATGTGCCATACAATCATAAAGTCGCAAAAATTGAGCTCTGATGATTGAGTATA